CTCAGCTTTATTTTAATGTGATAGAACTAAATCTTCATTATCTTCTTCTTCTTCTTCTTCTTCGTTTTCCTCTCGACAGAGGAGTCGTGGTTAGAGCTCCAAACTCATTTGGTTACGCTGTTTTGCTTATTAAAAGTACGCCCATGACTACAACTTTTTCACCTGTTCTTCAAGAATTCCTAAGCTTTATTTTGATTCTTTTTCTTCTTCTTCGTTTTACTCTCGAAAGAGAGGTCGTGGTCAGTTACACTGTTTTTCTTATCAAAATCTACTAAATAAATAAACTAAATCTTCTTCTTCGCTTTCCTCTTGACACAAGTTCAACCATTTTTCGATTGTCAGTTTCAAAACAGAAAAATACCAGCAAAAAGCTTTTGTCAATACTAAAATACGTAAATCTGTAATGGCATTTTCGATGAACAGAATTATCTTATGTTAAGGATACTGACTTTATATTCCAAGATGTATGGACCTAAACGCGACCGAATTTTCACAGGGTACTTGTAGAACAAGAACCAATAAATTGAAAGTTTACTAAGACCGTTGCTTCAAAACAAGCACTTAAACTTGTTATTTTAAAACTTTCAGTCTTTCAATTTTGAAGTTGCTTAAATGAAGTACATCGCCTTTGTCAGCAGTCCATTCAACGATATTTTATAATAGAAAAAAGAAATATTATTGCAAAATTGGCAAAAAAAATTACAAAAATATAGAAAATCGCCCAAAAGAGAAGACATAATAAAAAGAAATTGACGATTATAAAAATAACCCAAGTAGATCGTGATGTTTCAAAAAATAAAAAGGGGATCAGACAGTACAGACCATTAAATATTGTTAGAACTGAAAGTAAATAAAAATAAACAACTTACTTAACATAACTTGACATAAAATTAAAAGAAAAAAAAAGTATGGATATTAGGAAAATAATTGTGATATCTCTTTAACTAGGCATTTGAAAAAGCAGCAGTCAAAAAAAGGGTGGAATATAAAACAAATATAGGTATCAAGCAACAAAAACATCGAAACAATTAAATAGAAAAAATAATAACAAATATAATTGAAACTGTATTAGATCTTACTTTGTCTTTAAATTCCACAATAGAAGTACTATTTAATTTTGACTTTTTTAGAAGATATGTTATCCAAAGATCTTGTGATGAACCTCAGGAATTTTTAGGAATTGAAACTTTTGATGTAACCAAACACAAATATTCAAATGTAGCTAGCAGTATTTACATTCAATTTTTGAATGTTAGTCCCAAAGCTGCATGGGAATGGACCAAGGTCATAACTCCAAGGCTGAGCCCCGTGGCACTTCAATCGTAAGCTGTTTTACAGTTGATATTCAACATACTCTTTTCTACATCATCAGTACGACTCAACAACTTTCAAATCTGAATATCGAGCTCCACACCTTCCAATTACGACAGACAGCGATTGTGCACAGAGTTATAAAAACATCTTCAACTGTTTTAAGAAACCTTTTACAATCTGATCCGCAATTGCATTGGTTTCTTTGGTTTGGTTCCTCTTCTAAAAAATATTCCAAAACGCATTTCCAATTTCAAAAATACGAGCAGGCAGTACATATTTCAATATTTAGCCGTTCCACGCGGACTTTTAAGGAGTTATAAAACCGAATTTTTACTGGCTCCCGGGTCCTCACCTGTTCGCGGGCGACCATGAGAGTCGCATCTTATAAATTTCGTAAACACACACCTGAACGAACACACGGTTGCCACCACAAAAAGTCAACTCCCATTCACCGGCAGTTTAAATAAATAACCGGGGTATGTATACGAACGTTATAAACGTCGGTGAATAAATCCTTTTTTTATTGGGCGACTTTTGTGCTACTTACCTGAGCGGCTCGGCTGGAAGGGGGGGGGGGTCAATGGTGTTCAATGCCGACCGACCCCTTTCGGTCTTTGGAAGTGGCGACGCTTATTCTTACTTTTTTTTTTTGAGTTGTTTGTTTTCGGATATTTTTATACCTACTGATCCCGGAAACGACTACCTTTGGATATATCCTACCTTATAAATGACGTAAATGCACGCCCACGCATGACAGAAAACTCACCGCTAAAAACGTTAAACAATGTTGTACCAGAAAAGATTTAAATTTTCAATTAGGGTCAGAAGAATTATACATGATTTGGCGATCAGTCCACTTAACTTTAGAAAGGAAAATTCTCATTTTGCCCGGGTAAGGTTGTTATCAAGTTTTGCATGATTGTTTGCTGAATATTTTCCCATCCCACCACTCTCTAAATCCTTTTAGAACATCCCAAAGGTGCAGTCCGTTCTTTTTTAGTTATTGCTGTCGATTGATCATCATTGTTACACCTAGGTCCACCTGAGAACCTACACTGGATACAATGCCTCCATTGATATATAATACGGAGCACTTCTGAGAAGTCAGCTTCAACATCCAATTCTAGCCCTTAAATATATCAAATCAACCAATGAAGCATCATCAACATCAACGAGAGTTTATGCTAATAATACTGGCCCCAGCATTGATCCTCGTGGAACACCACTAGACGCGTTTTGGGGTGGAGACGAAAATGTATGAAAATGAGATGTCTTCTATAAATGGATTTTTGAAGTGTCTGAGGCTCACTCTCCGCTTTTAAATCTCAATAAATGAAACAAGACCAAACTAGGCTGTCGTAATACAGCAAAAAATGTGGGACTTTGGTTACATGTCCACCTAAAATTTGAAAAGCACATCTATGAGTGTATTTTTCAGTTTTCAGATAACGGAAACGGAAGTTTATGAGTGTTTGTTTATTTGTTCTGTGTTTTTTTTTTGCAGAAAAAAATAAATTCAACGAAAATGTTTCTTTTAAGTAAAAAAATCACATTTACCGAAATCACTTTCGTCTAAACTATTTTGTGTACTATACTTAGAAGTTGCTTTTTTCACTAACGCCACTGTGTTTGGAGCACCGCTCACAGCCGTACTTAAACTCAACTTTTCATCACTCATTAAGCAGTGCCCTCGTTTGAATTCGTTAAATTTCGTGGTCAACGAAACACAAAATAAATGGACAAATTTATATTTGAGGTTATTATAAGTTATTTCGACTGGCTTGCTCATCCCAGTACACCCACCCTTAAATGCTGATACTGTTCAGCTTTTATTACCTCATTCAACGGTACATGTCTTCGTAGATGAAGGATAGTGCAAACGGATGCCTTTAAAATGACACTTTGGGTTGGCAGTTGCATTAGTTCGTATCATTTATTAACATTTATACACACATAGATACTGTTGTGGTGGAACAGCAAGCTACTGCTTCATCAGCAGGTCTTCTATTTGCCCTTTTAACAACTGTTGCTCTTGGATATAGATACCCTCCTACGAAAAATCTGTTTAGCAGTTTTAATTTAAATAGGAAATATTCGGTAAAACGCGATTTTAGCTCTGTACGACGGAAGCAAGTAGACCCGACTCCGGAACACCCTGTATCGAGAAAGTTTCATCGTCCTCGGGACCCTTTTGATAACGCTCGTCTTCGCGGAGCGCCTGCGCGCACACTTTGTCCGCTTTCTGCGGCAGACCGAGAGCGTTGCTTAGCAACACGTATCTAACTCTTGCCGTAATAATGATTGGTAGCCTAGAAGTTTACAATGGCTGCCACCGTCTGCATTTCCTAACCGATAAACACGCTGTTTAACCGGATCGGCGCGGCGGGGAGCGGGGCGGAAAACGGTCGGGCGTCGACGACGTCGACGTGGTCGGTATTCATCCGACGGATCGCGGCGTCATCCGAGTCGGCCGTGATCGCGTTCCGTCAATCGGCGCTACGGTGGCGCCATCTCGTCGGTATGTGGCGTTTTTACGAAAGGAGCAAAAGAAACTTTGCGAATAAGTTTTTTAAAGGCTCGTGAATTAGCATTAAGTAAATCGATACTACTACCATCTTTGACAATATTTAATGAAATAATTAAATTTGGAATCGTCGCCGGGCATATTAAAAACAAACCAAAATTGCGCGGCGGCCGGTGTGACGTCACACCGCGGGAAAGTACACGGCACGTATTTTTTTATTTATTCCGCAAACTACTAGTTATAAGTACTGTATCGTTCTTGTACGGGTTCAACTGTGAAAAATCCAGATAAAATTCACGCTTATGAAGATCATTTCGATGCAAGTATGAATACCTAAATATAAGGTAAACTTGTTATTATACCGACGTTTCTATTACATGCTTACTTACCTAAATGCAGAGTAGAGTGCCAAAATTATTAAAAGGAGATATTTAAAAAAACTTTTCCTTCCCAAAATTGGCTTACGGGTAAATAAACTGCGACACAAAAAACATGGAAAAAATTATTTTTAAACAATTTGTTTTCAAAATATTTAAGAAAACTAAGAAACGGGCTAAATGCCAACAAATTATTTGCTCAAATTAGAATAAAATTCTTGGTGCTATTAGATAAGGACTCATTGATATTAGGTGCCTTTTTTTGTTATCACCGATCTTATTCATATCTGGTAGCAGCCTAACAGATATTTCTAATGTCTTCTATGGTTTTTCCTTTCTTAAGTATAAATGAGGATTTCCAACATACTACTTCGGAAAAAGATTCAGCAGTAAACAAAATGCCAGGGTCTTTGGGAGCCAACTTTCATTCGAACGACTTTGCTAATATTCACTTGTCTGAGATTTAGTATCTTGTCATCTGCTTATAGATCAAAGAAAAGCAAAGAGGTTTGGAAAATTGCTGGAAAACTTATGGTATACCAGAAAAAAACGTTGACACAAGTGTATTATATGTGGGAAGGATTACTTTGAAAGAGAGAACATTAATTTCGATGAATAAATACATACTTTTTGATAAAACTTCAAAGACAACTAACTTTTTGAACACACCTCGCATTTTATATTATGTTACTGTATTGTGTGAAATATGTGCGTTTTCGCCAAATGAATGTAAAATTATATAACAATAATGAATGCTATTTCTAAAGGCCAATTTTTCATTCCAGATCGTCCTCAACTCGATGCACAGGTATCAGCCGCGGATACACATAATAAAATGGCGGGAAAACTCCGGTCCAGTCACCGATCTGGAACAGGAACAGTACCGTACGTTCGTGTTTCCAGAGACGGTATTCACCGCGGTGACTGCTTATCAAAATCAACTGATCACCAAACTGAAAATCGATTCCAACCCATTCGCAAAGGGTTTCAGAGACAGCTCGAGACTAACCGATTTTGACAGGTAAAGCAATCTATCTAATAATAGTCGTGTTTCCTATTTTAAATATTTTTTTGTTTTATCCGTGCTTTTAATTGAAAATTTTATTATTATTAATAATTATTAATCATTAATACGTATTAATTTTTTAACGCTTATTTTAATTATTAATATTCATTAATTATTAATACTTATTAATTTTTAATTGCTCATTTCTTGGATTTTAAAACCACCGTCGGACAAAATAAATACGACGCAGTGGATCGTTTGTTGAGCCTAATTTTCAGCATCTTGTAGTTCAAGAATTTTTCCCATCACATCATGGCTCATTGTTTAGGTTAGGTTTAACCACAGTATAGCAAATCATAACAAAATAAACAAATGCTTGTAAGCATAGTAAAACAATACATGAATAAAAGTACAAAACACACTTAACAAAATTGACAGCTTTCTTAAAATAATTGTTGTTTAAAACATTTCACTAGATATAACACTAACACATTTTTTAAATGGAATACCTCCAATTAAAAAAAAAAAGTTTTCTATTAAAATTTCCTGTCAAACGATGTACCATACGCGTATTTTTATTAAGTAGTTAAAAAGATATCTGCAATTTTTAATAATTTCCATAGTAGGCTGCGCTTAACTCTGACCTATGCAGTTTTACGGTATCTATCTAGGTAGCTATGATAAAAAAAACAATTGCCATCATACACAAGCCCAACTGTCAAAAGTGTCGTGTTCGTCGAGCTATAAAAATGTTTGAAAACTTTCAAAAGTGCGACATGATAAAATGTTATATTGAAAGTAACGAAAATCGACAGACGGCGTTAAATCCATATTTCCAGAGATATCCGGAAAGGAGGCAACCTAGCTCAAAAATATTTTTAAAACGTCATCTACAATAATACAGATCCTTTAAAAAACCGCGGTTTAACCAAAACTAACGGTTCTGGGAGAAACTGAAATTAACCCGAATACTTCCACAAGGGCCATGGAGAGAAACCGAGGAGGTTCGGTTTTAAGCCAATTTATAGAGGACAAATTATTTTTATTATTATTTTTGATGCACATTTAAATGCCGAAAGATACCAACGAATTCTAGAAGAGCAGGTAATTCCCCTTATCGACAATTTGCCACTTCAGCAAAATAATGAGCTATACTTTCAACACGACGGTGCACCCCCTCATAATGCACGAGACATTACTACTTTGCGCAGCGCCTACTATGGTAAATATCAAAAATTGCAAATATCTTTTGAAGTATTTAGTAAAAATAGGTGTGTGGCACATCGTTCGACAGGACATTTTGGTAGAAAACTGATTTCGCTTAATGCAAATGCTTAAAGAAATAGAGGCTATCTCATTTGGACCACCCCGTACATTACGCGTTGCGTAGGGGCGAGTGTCAAACTGAAAAGTCCCATGGACCGCTTAAAAGGTGCCGAAAATTCGATTTTATCGATTTTTCGAAATTTACAAGGATTATCAACCGTGAGTTTTACGCGCAATATGACATTTTCACGTTTTTTTTTCGTCTCGTAGACGTCAGCGGTAAAGCCGGATCGACGTTAAATTAACGTCACAGTATCAGCTGGGAATTACGTCCCTGCGACGTCCCTCGCTACTTTGACCGACGACCACCGAATATCGCGAAGCAAAAACGTGACTGGTCCGTAAAAAAACTCGTAAACGGCTCACCGTTCCGTTCGGACGTAAATCGTCAGACAAAAGCGCGTAGCGTTGAAAAACGCGGGCCGTTAAATCGGTCAGCGTATTCCATAATTCCGTAATTAGATTTGTATGGGGCGCGGGCTCTTTTACAACGCGGGGGCCCCTTTTTTTGCCACCGACAACTAATTATCTTATTGTTATTAGGAGCGCAGCTTTTATTGCGTCGTAAACAAGCACGGTAGCAAAGTGCTACGGGCTTGTCGAATTCTTTGTGTTTGCGTGTGTGTGTGCGCGCGAGCGCCGGCGCGGCACAGGACCGTCCCGTTTTCGACGGTATAGCATTCTTCGTGAATTAGTGCCTGTTTTCTAGTATAAACAACGCTGACGAATGAAAAAAGAGAGAGAAGTTGTAACGACTATTAAAAAGAGGAAATTGGGAAAATTTGTGGAAGTGGGAAGTGATTTCCGACGTTCCAAACCAAACGCTGTGGCAAAACACTTATTGCAAAGGGTGCCAACTTCAAGTCTGTCCTAGACAAAGTGTCATCTCAAACAGCTAATTTTAACCCCCAAACCTCCTAAATATAATATTCCGTATTGCCCCAGAATCTCTAAAATCTAATACCGGCATCGTAATTCCGAAAGCAGATAACGGAAGCGCTACGGTAGTCCTGATATGAGGAAACAATTCTGCTGATAACGCTACTTAGTCAGTTACACTAATTTTGGATATGTAAAAAATAGAAAACTAGTTTATATTAATTACTAATTAAACTACGTAGTTAGACAAATTACATGAATAAAAATAAGAATTGAGAAAAGAAAAAACAAGATTTCAATTAGGGATGAAAAGACGGTTGGAAAATATGGCCCACCATTGCATAAAGAAATAAATAAATCGAAACTAAGTAATTTTGACTGAGACGGTTCAAAATTAGGGGATGGGATTTGCGGACTTCATGTCGTGAGAGTTTAATAATACGGTTTGATGTACTGTTTTCACCTCAAAAAATAAAAACCTCGTTAAATGCAGAGAAATCAGTTTTTATTATTAATTGAAAAAAAAAATTAATAGATCAAATCAGTGGTGTGCCACAATGAACAATTTTTTTTAAACCAAATATTTAGTTTTTAGTTAGCAATTCGTGCCCTTCAGAAAAAAAAATTAAAAGACTTCCTTTTAATTTTACAGGGTAAATCATAAACTATTGTTATTTAAAGAAAATTCTACGTACTATGAATAACTTTGAACAAAATCGTCTGTTCTTTGCAAGAGAAGTAGAACATAGAAGCTAAATATGTTGGAGCACCTCATATTACCATTAAATCGCGGCTATAATTAATCCTTTCTGGCTGGAAAAAGAGTCCTATTAAGTAATTTCTGTTCTGATGTTTATATTCTACAACTACATGGGGGTTTTCATCGGCCCAAATATGGTTATTCTGGAAATTTCTGATTGAAACTTAGCTTCATCTAGAAATATTATTACTTGATCATTACGCTTGGACTCGCTGAATCGTACAAAAGAAAATCGTGCAAAATTTTCCAAACAAAGACGTGCGAGATATTCAGATTATTTATTAGAATTTAAAACTGCTTCTTCACTTTCTGGAGTTCTTACGGTCCTCTTAAATGATTATTTGTCCTTAAAGTACATATCTGCATATCTGCCATTGGTAAACTCCACTGTTATTTTTTAAAATAACAATACTCGTGAATTTTAAATACAAATTTAATACGACGCGAAGAACTAAATTTAAATTTTTATTTTTTTACGCGAAAACCGAATGATTGGAGATTTTAAGAATAATTTTTTTTTAAGGAAAATTAGTGACGTAGCATCAATGTCTGCCAAAATAGACAGGTGAAATTCCGTACGCCCGCCACTGCTTCACTAAATAATGCCTCCTGATACATAGCACATTGAAAACCTATTAAAAATCCGCCCCCATAATTATTGACATTCAATAAGAAAACACCCTGTATAACATGGCAGATGATATAATTCCATATATTCCAGTGGCGCCCCCTGGGGAACCGCGTTAACCACAACGTTTTCGGTAAAAAAAAATATTTTTAATGTAATTTTTTTCTAATTACGGACCTGCGTCGAAGGTAGCCGATCGGCATCGCGGAACGAATAGTAGATTCCCCGTCCTTAATGGGCAGTAAATCGTTTTTACTTGTGCAAAATTATGGGACGATTTAAATTGGAAATGTAGCCGGGCAGACCGAGCCCCTTATATTATGGCAAACCGACAAAAATACAATTACTATTATGCTACCTATTCATTATGCCCGCTTATGTCCGGACAATTTTCCAATTTTGGAAAGACTTTTCCCGTTTTTTTGTCAATTAAATATACGTGTATGAGTTTACTACTGAAGACCTGACGTCACTGGTCGACACTATTTTTAAAACCAACAGAAAACCTCATATAAATATAATTTAATTAGACGTACTGATACATATCCGTTCAATTTTGTTCTTCCGCTCCTATTTTGATTGTATCCTTCTTTTTTTGGTTTTGTGCACTCGTCTGGAGCTCTGTATAACTTAAGTCTGCGTCCCTTCTTTTCATCTGATGTTGTTTTCGCATGCATTCTTTGTTTTATTTCGTTGTTTGTTGTTCTCCTCTTCTTTTTCGAGCAAAATTTCACGCAGTTACTTTATTCCCTTCGTTATGATTAAGCAGTTAAAACCAAATGTTAAAATAAATTCATTTGTTTTGTTAGTGAAAATTCGCGCCGTCACCGATAGTCATAGCCTACTATGCAGTTTTGGTTAGTACTGAACTAAAGCTCTTGGGTCTTGGATTACATGACAAATTTTCATGGTTCAGCCACTCTAAAAATTTTAAATCTGACCTCGCAAATTATATGTAAATAGTATCATAAAGAAGACGAAGTTTCTTTGGAAAAAAATGCACTTATATCTATGTTCCTATTGTTTTCACTTAATTCAGGAATACCTATGAGGTTGACATTTTTTTAATTGCTAAATGCACCTTTCTTCGTATGCAGTAGAAATGGAAGTGATACCAGATAACGAACAAATTGAACTTCAATCTCCGTGGATGTAAGAGCATCGGTTTTAAATTTAGAGAGCGATTATTAGTGTCTCCTAACTACCTAATTAAGGCCGACGATTCGAGGGCAGGCGATTAGCGATGATGCGGTCCATTGACGTAGATAATCTGACGGTATGAAGCAATTTCAGAGTCGCGATGGAGTTAATAAAAGGTCTCGGAAATGAGGCACGCACAACGTCTAGTGAAAGCGATATGTGATAATTTTGTCTCGCTCTTCTTCGTTCATTAGCTGGGGTACTGGGTTATTCGTTATATTTTGACACCCACCCACAAGGTTAATTTTGAAAAATAGAAAAAAAGTGTTAATACAAAAGCTTGACGATTTTTGCTCTGTTATCTTATGCAAATTTTTGAAAAAACAAACGACGAACGCAAGCTGTCAAAATGACAGCAAGATCATTTTTTTAAATATATTATTAGATTCAATCGTAGATCTTTAGCCGCTCTTGAAATATTTCAGTTTTTCTTCAATAATAGTATATTATGCAACAAGTGCGATAAAGGGTATTTGACTCACGAGTTTATTTGACACGAGCGAAGCGACACAATTCCAAGCAATTTGAAAATGAATGGTACTTACTATACTTGATCGATTTTAAATGAAGAAAATTCATTTTGAGAGTTCATTTTAGAATTAACACATTGTGTGAAGAGTATTGGCTAGGCACAGTTTTTATGCCTAAGATAAGAAGTGGAAGGAAAATAAAATGAACAGTATAGTTGCTCTCACCGATTTTTAGGTTACCTTCTATATCTACTTCCCTATATTCCCTTCAAAAGAGTTTGTAACGTTATTGTTGCTGTGTTTTTTGTTTGTGTGAGATATGTAGGAATTATTAAAGGACAATTCCTTCAAACTCAGAAACAATATTTAAATAAATAAGTATAACAAATACGAAATATAAATTATCAACTTAATTTTTTCCCGGTTTGTTTCGAATGGTTTTTGTGGCAAGATAATTTTATCGGAAATATACCGTAATATTAATGGTCATTTAAGTCGTAAATATGTAGAATTCTCAAGAAATTGACAGAGCGATGTTGTTATATTACCACTATAATTAGAGGTTTGGTTTTTGCGCGAGCGGTTTTTTGTAGTCGAATTGCCAATTAGAACGTTCGTTTTATGACAATAAAACGTTTTTAAATTTAGAATGGAAACCTTAAATATAATATATAAGCTACTGTTCAAAACTAATGCGCCACTCTATATAAAGGGCGTGTTTAAAAAAAAAACGTATTTCTACAAAATATTCTTTTGAAACACCCTGTATGTCCCTCCCAGGGACTTTGCCTTTTTTTTGACGCGTTGAATATAAAAATGAAATGATATATTTGTCCTTGTCCTCTCTTGTTTGATTTGAGGAGAGCTTGTGACGTAATAAATATGGAATTAACGCCCCAGTTACCAGCAGCGTGCGTTAAGAAGGCATATTGGGGTGACTTCCAATTCCCTAGTAATTTCCTCCACATCAGATGCGATATTAAATATTTTATCCAATAGATCAAATACTTCCCTCATTTTTGCTGCCGATGGTTGGTAATTTTTTTTATCCGAATTACTGTGATAACTAGCATTATCATGAACTGTTACCCTGCCTAGTACAATATCTGGAAGAAGTCCCTAGTTTTTTTATCTCCTTTTTAAAAATAGAAGTATTGCGACGGAGTCTTTCAATGTGGATGGAATTTTTCGGCATTTCCCCAACTTTTCCTGGAGCTTTATCGCGTTTCATGTCTTTTAAAGGTTTTTTTTATTTCTGATTTACTGAATTTAGGTTGGAGCTCAGAGTTTCTTGTTGTTTCTTTATTTATTCTCCTTTTGTGCGATATGGTTTAGTGTGGTATCTTCTATTTTCGCTTCTTCTATCTAGCTATGTGTTTTGAATTGGCTTTGTATTTCCTATCCAATTAGGTTTTGAGTATGTACCTCCCTAAGGAGGTAAGTGACCTACAAATAAAGTACCCCAAAATTTTGAATAATTGCCTCGAATTCCCGGTAATTCCAAGACTTGCCAAGAATATCCTGCAGAACTATCGTCCAAATTCTTCCTGTTGTAGCTGAACTGATTCTGGTAATTCCCGACTTTCTTCGGTGATAGTTTCTGTAACTTTTTGACCAACCGATTTCACTGAGCGCGATGAAAAACGAAAATTTTCCCACATTGAGCTTCACCAGGATTTGTAATTGTCATAGGGTATTTCTTGTGATTTCTTGCAATTCTTGTACCCTAAAACATATTACCCAAACATGTAGCCCCCATCTAGCAGTTTTATAACTCACTCGGGTTTGTCTAAGATTTTATTAGGTGCTCACGTTGACCACACTTGCACATTCTTATTCTTACAAGCACAACAAGTTTTTCTCAAAAACATGAAAAACGTACGGAGAGAATCATAAACATCAAAAATGTAAACAACTACAATGTAGACTCTTATAAAAATTAGTCGAAATAACGGCAATGTTGCTGGGGATGACGCATGCGCCGTCATATCATAGCCACCTGCGGCGCATCAATTTTTATTGTATTTTCTTATAGCTAGATGGTTTTTGCCGACCCAGCAACACCGCTTATGTTATGTTCAAATTGTTTTAAAATATCCATTTTTTGTTAAGTAGTTAAAACGTTGCTTTTGACTAGCACCTGATCATCGGGATTCTGCTGTAATTGTATGTTTTTGAGTTAAACGTTGTCGATTAAAAAAATCGCGTCTAAACAAGGCGCCGCCACTGGGCCGAGGGGTGGGGAGGGCGAGCGCGCTCGTCTCCGTCGAAACGCGATGACTAAAAAAAAAAAGAAAAACAAAAAAGCGGACCTCGGCTTATTTCAGTTGCGATCGAATTTAATTTACCTGTTTTGAATGTTGGCCGCTGGAGGGCGTGGCGCGCGGAGGCCGCCCTGTAATTTGAGACAATCGGTGTCTTCATGAAAGCCGGGGCCCGTTCTTCAACCGCGCCGCGATGATATATAATGAAACCCGCATTTTCTCACACTTCAGGTAGTGTTTTCCCTCTTATTTTCTCGCCAGATCGCCTTTAATTACCGACCGGTCCCGATAGGCGGCGGTTTTGTCTTCCACGGGTCGGGGGGGTGGGCGGGGTCGGCCACTCTCATTATCACCTTTTCCCTTGCGCCACGCTGTTCGCCTTCGGAGTTATTGATTGTTTTCCCCGGGATCGCCTGAGCCGCCCGTGATTTGTTATTATCTGCTTCCGTTTATAATAATAATCGGCTATTTTGGTGGTTCGGTTCTTTTACTTTGACCGCCGCATCGCACACACACGCACACACGCGAGGAGTCCGAGGTACCGGCTGTCGTTGTGTGCGGCGTTTAGGTGCCAAAACGATTCGCCGAGCCTGTCATTAGACAGACAGGTCGGCTTGTCCCCGACACCCCGTCCCGCCATAGGCGGGGCCCCTCCATTTGTCCACCTACTTCGTCCCAAAAAAGTTTTAGGCAAGTATTGGGAAATTCCGAAGTGTAACGCCCGGCACACACGATGCAATTTCTACGCATATTTATGCACGTATTTTCGGCGGATAAAAATTGCCTTTTTTATCAAAGACACGCCCAACTGAAAATCTAACTTATCCTATGCGTCCAGTGTTGACTATTGACTTCAAAATGCCTGCTTGAGATATACTTTTTTTTGCGATACTGAATCGTTGTCTAATGGAACAAAAAATTTGCAGAAAATTATGCGGAATACAGTGAGAAACATTTGAAATGTTGACAACGGCAAATGGAGCAAACAAAAAAAAAAACGTTTATAAGCGGCACAAGCTGTTCTAAGATGGCCGTGAAGACGCCGATGACCAACCTTGCTCTGTACGCTCCAACACGTCAACAACAGATGAAAGCGTTGAAAAAGTGAAACAAATGGTGTGGAAAAATCTTCGAATTACTATTAGAGAAGTGGCTGAAGATGTCGGCATCTCTACTGGCTCGTGCCATGCAATTTTTTCCTAAGAATTGTTAAACAACATCACTGATAATCCTGATCTGTTCGAAAACGTTATAACAGGTGACGAATCATCAAAGCCCAGTCGTCCCAATGGAAGAACCCAGAATCACCAAGACCGAAAAAAGCACGTCAAGTTCAATCGAATGTCAAGGTTTTCCTTACTGTTTTCTTTGACCATGGTGGCGTAGTACATCAAGGGTTCTTACAACAAAGTCGTACGGTCATAAAGAGTATTGAATTAAAATTATGCGTCATTTGCGAGAAGCAATAAGAAGAAAACGCCCACAGAAAAATCATGGATTTTGTATCACGACAATGCACCTCATCGTTGATTGTGCCCAGCTTTTTGGCCAAAAACAAAACAGTTACCATGCCTCAGCCACCATATTCACCGGATATGTCTCCGTGCGACTCTTTCCTGTTCCCAAAAAAAAAGCTGATGTTACCTTAGCAGTCATTACTAATAATAGATATTTGGACACTTCCTACCCAAGTATTTGAGTTGCGGCAATTTCGAAACATCTCATTAAAATCCCCTTAAACTTTGACCAACGCTGTATCTATTTAAGCCTCGTCCAAACTTATCATCGGAGTATTCTCTTGGTTGCAGGGAACCCATGGACAGCCTCTTCATGGACCAGCAGTTCCTGCGATCCTCGTTGCGACTGTATTCGGGAGGCGACTCCCTAGACGCGGAAAACAACAACGCAAATTCCTTCTTCTCGGCCGCGATGGTGGAGAAAGCCCGAGCCCAACTCCAGATGTGGAACCGCGCTGGCGCTTACCACCCCAGCGAGCTCCACGCGTTCCTCCTCAACTCCTCCGGTCAACAGATGTTCCTTGGACAGAGGTCGCCCGTTCCCCTGGGGTTGTCGACGCACTTGTGGTCTCAGGGAGGGTCCTCTTGGCAGAACCATATACACCAGGCGCTCGCCCCTGGACTTTTGGGACCGCCGCGACCTCAAATGACTCCGCCGCCGTCCTCAACTCCGAGTTCCTCCGGCTCGCCGAGTCCAAACTCTGTCAACACGTCGACGGAGCTGCGCTTGCTCAAGCCGCTGTTTCCGTCAGCGTTGCACCACGGCGGCAGCAGGTTCAGCCCTTACGCGACGCCCATGTCGAAATCGGACGGGTCGACGACCTTGAGCCCGAGGCAGAGTCATTGATGCCGTTCTTAGGGTAGAAACGTTGTTGAGTTTTATGTTTCCTAAACCAAAGAGTCTCGTGAGACGTTAAAGTGTAATTCGGTTGGTTCGTGGTTCAGATGTGGTAGTGGTGATCTCGTAGTGTGAGGAAAGTGTGCTCGGCTATCACCAAGTAGTGAGAAAATGACGCAACGGCGGAAGGAATTTTGGCGAAAATATGTTTGGTTCCTTTTGTATTGGTCTTTCATGATCCCAGCTTCAAAAAAATTTCTGAAATATTCTTGACTCCTTGTCTACTAGTCCTTTCCCAATTGAAAAAGGTGGTGGTGGTAGAACTTTGTTCGAAATATGGACAGCTTCTTGTCTACCAGTTCCTCTCCAATTCAAAGAGGAATTACAGCCCTCAAAATGGTACTTGGGTAATGAGAAAACCTAAGCAAAAATAAGTTTCGTCCGTTTTTCTAGTGCGCTTTTAAGGTTCCCAGAGATTCTGGTGTGCCTTGGATAACAACAAAAATACAAAGTATAGAAAGTCAAGAAGTAACCACTTGGTTATCTGCTGGACCTTTACCAATTCAAAGGGAAGTTAATTGTTTCCAATGGTTACCTGGGTAACACCAATTAATAATAAAACAACGTAAGCAAGGGCAGAGCTAGGGGAAACTTTGGCAAAAATAGGTTTGGTTCATTTTACAGAAGAAAAATCTGGACTCCAGAATGCAAATAATTGAGTAACAGAATTAAGGCATTGGCCAAAATATCTTTAGCCACAATTCAAACATATTTTTTTTATTGCTCTTTTAAGGTCCCAGGAGAAAAAGGACGATTCCAGTGTGCTTGAAGAACAAGTTATGATAAAATTAAGGAAATAGTAAATAGTACATTGAAAATAAATATGTCTAGACTCCAGATCATGGGTACTCGAGCAACGCCAAACCTTGACAAACGAACGTAAGCAAAAGCAAAATTAGAAAGATCTTGGGTAAAAATATGGGTTCTTTTTCTGCTAGTCCCTCTTCAATTCAAAAGGGAGCAGAAGTCCTGTAAATAATGACTAGAAACAACAACGACAACACAAGGTTCGGAATTGTACATGAGAGTAGAAAAGGCAGTAGAAGGAGTTCGAGACTTTGATCTTTTTGTGACAGCAAATACTGGCCAGACATGCATAGATTAACTTCTTGTGCTATAGATTAACTAGAAAAATTAACCGCACTATCTTGACTGAGCTTCAGAGCCATTTTGAAAAAAATAATCTGTAATTTGTTAGTCGTATTTTTTTTTAAATTAAGATGGCTATATGAAGACGTCAAACTGTACCTATGTACTGTGCCACATCTGAGACCGCGATGACTAGATTTTTTTTTGTAAATTTTTAGGATATTCGTGAAGATTGGTACAAAGACGCCTCGATTTGATTTCATATTCCGCTACGAAAGACCAGTATTATAAATATAGAATGCATTTATTTGCCGGGTATACATATATACAGACATTTATAATGTTCCTTTGTGTTTTGGTTCTACGCCAGATATATTTTATCGCAGCGTTAAAATACATATTTACGTGTAATTTTCGAAATTTTAGAACCAAATACCTTTCGCGTTTTAACATATACATAGTGTACATACCGCCGCATACATACGTTGAATATAATTAGCTGTCTATTGTTTTCCGTTTAACTACTTTTGTACTTAATTATGGTGAAGTAAAATCGTTGTTGTGTATATATATATTAAAATTGTAATGTAAAATATTAATAAATTATTATGCCTATATATTTTACATCGCACATGATTTATTTTTTTCCATTCCACGCGTAGAAGGCTCACTTTCCGGTAAGTAAGAGAAGACTAGATAGATCGATCGGACCGCGTGTCTTTTTCTTCAGAATATTTTCTCAAATTAGTAATTCCATTTTGGCCATTTTAATTTTTGTTTGATTTAATAGTTAATTTATCTAATTTTTTTTTGCATTTTCCACTTTTTATCAAATAATATACAGTGCGTGCGTATAATTTTGACCGCATATTAGCACTTTATACGGGGTGTTGCGTAATTAATGCACCAAATTTTAAATATATTATTATCATTGTTATCACGTGTCAAAATGGTGTTTTATGTTTTTACTTTCTTCGTTCAGAAAAAAGTTAAAAAATAGAAGTTGTCCCAAATTATTGGTGACTTGAAAAATAAAATTTATTTTCGGAAAAAGCAGCTCCGCACCATTTTTTTTGGTAACTTAAAGGAAAACAGCATCAAAAAATGGTTTTTGATGACTGAAAGCAGTGTCAACTAAGTATCTAGGGTGGTAAAGTATGATAAAAAATAGTGAATTTTGTTGCTTAACACTCTGTATGTGTATGGTGGTCTCCGGGCTATATATGATTCGTGCACAAATAAAATTACGTCGCTACTTCGATGATAATTTTCTTGTTTAACCCTACATATTTGCAACCTAACAATCTTAACCGCTACCTATATGGGAACCAGTCATTCGAGATGATGTTAAACAGTATATAAGCAGGTACAAAGTAAAATACGAGCCAGTTTCAGTCAAGCTCTGAAGAAGTCAACAGGATGATTGGCGAAACGTCAGCAAGTTCACCAAAAATCGACGCCGGAGGAATTCAGAAGTTTTGTAAAAAGTATTACAGTAGCCTGTAGAAGTTTCTTTGAAAAAAAAAATAAACAGTCGGTAATTTTTTTTTAAATAGGTAAATCAGAAATGTCTTCGTTAATTTAAATTACGCTTGAGAAACCTCTACAATTACACAGATTTTCAAAATGACGCATATTTGCAACCCCAGCAAGTATAATTCCCGGTATTTCGGTTAATGTTTCTAAAGTATTTGTCCCAACATTTCTGTAATCTCGGGAGAAATAATAAATTCACAGACCTAATATATTGTATGACCCCAGAGGAAGAAATACAAGGGCTACAAATCAGGAGATATAGGAGGCCAAGATATTTCTTCAAATAATTCTTTTGTCAATCTTTCCGCTTAAGAAGTTCCTGACTTGAATACTGTTGTTACTTATTAAAATATAACTTTGAGAAATAAACCATGGATCCATTTATAAAATAATTAATAATAATAATAATAACTTTATGAAGTGCGATAAAAAAATTTTTGCATTTGCTGAGAGATCACTGGACTGAAAATTTAAAGCTTGTTTCAAAAGTCGAAAAATCCAATGCGGCGGCCATAGAACACGGTTAGTTGCGAGATAACAAAAGACAATTGAGAAATACGCCACGTCTTAGGTTTGATAGCTGTCAATTTAATGGCTTGCCTTGGGGATAACCCGAGCCTGGGAACATTTGATTCTATGTTGTTCAACTCATTCACGAGGTATTTGGTATTTGTCTTGAGTCGATGCTTCTGGATTTGTTCTGGACCTGAATTCGACTGATATTTTCTTAGCTGAGAGAGAGAATCTACTTGACCTCGTACTGCTCTTGTTTACCGTTTACAATGTTACAATGTTTTGTGAATACATTTTTGAGAGTAGCCATTATGAAGCAAATCCTTATGATACTACATAATTCCACACTTCCACGCTGCAAATTGTGATTGGTCATTTGCAGAGTGTTCGGATGGTTCCTAGTTTGGTTGCTTCAGAACAATCAGACTCGAAATGTGTAGGTTTCTTAAGGCCCCCAATAGCAATTTTACCCGCACGGGTCAAAAAGCACGGTTAAACACGAACAACGACTTCCCCCCACACATACGCGTTGTTTTGTATGTCTCGTTCAGTTTGTTTGAAATTGCGGGCAAAAATCATTGCTGATGGATTTTACGACGACGTTAGCAGTGGCGGCCGCGGTTGCTATTAAAATAAAATATTCTAAAAAACAACGTTCCAAATGGGTTAAACAATGGTTACTCAAGCGAAGACAAATTTCACATTTTAATCTTTTGAATGAAATACGACTAGACTGCGGATAGACGAAGAAACGTATTTGGAACTGCTCTCTTTAGTAGCACCAAGATACCTTATCGAGACTAAGTATTTTACCACATGAACGTCTCACCGCCACACCATCCCAGGCCTTGGGCAAATTATACCAGAAATGTGCAGTGCCATATATTCTGTTTTAAAACACTGTTCTGTTTGAAGGTAAGAAAATATGTTCAAATACGCTTGAACAAGGTTCTTTACATGACTACATGGCTTGTTATTCATAAAATTAGGTGCCTTTTTGATCGGTAAGTTTATTTTGGAATTTTCAACATTTAATAGAACCTTTTGTAATACTTATCTCATTGCTACTTGCTTCGTCACTAATATTGGTAACTGTGCTCCTCGGTGTTTCTTGGTCTGTAAGGAATAATAGATATTCGTAGTACAACAAGTGTGGTTTATAGATGATTGAATGACTTTTTTCAATTCCTTACGGAAGCAGCCAAGTAAAGAGTCAATTCTCTTTTTCACCCAAATCTCTTGTTGCTGGGTTATCTACTTCTAACTTTTTGATCACATCTTCGTAAGCTTTATTTTTTTATCTCTATCAGAATAGTCCGTAGATTTAACCTTCCGCAGGCACGGATAGCATCTATACAGTTCTATGAACTGTAATTTTTTGAGTCAGTCATTGTAAAAACTACAGCAATATATTTTTATTCAACAATACAATTTTAAAATCACTACTCAAAACTAACACTAATTATTGCTGTGTAAAATAAGTGAGTCGACACCAATAAAAACTGTCCTTCTTAAGTGTTTTCCCACCACACACTGACAGACTTGAACGAATGCGTTTAAAATGGACGGTTAAAATCAAGCAGTGGCAGATATTTTTGAACGCCAGCAAAAAGGACAGTTTTTGGCCACACACTGATCAATTTATCCTCACCGTTTTAACCGTGCGGGTAAAATCGCTAAAAAGGAACGACGTCTGTGGAGGGCTTTATATACAGAGATGCAGAAAGAATTAAGATCTAACCAAAATTTATCAGGGCAACTACGCAGTGAATCTCTTCAAATTTAAGACGGCCATGCACAATAGAAGTTATGCTTGTTCTGTGAAATGCGTGATGCTAGTGACCACAAAACGTCGCTTGATCAAACCAGAGTATACCGACATTTCTGCTATCAATTTTGGCTTAAAAAAATCACCTGTGTGAAAGCGGCCTAACACTTTCCGATGTGTTTGAGATTTTTCCGAATCGATTTTCGATTTCGCGCTTCTCTCGTCTTCGTTCCGAGTTAAAAGGCGTCATATCGTTCGTTGAACGTACACAATGCGAGAGCCGGGGCCCTCTGTCGTGTATTTCATGACGCCGTTTACAAGTTAAGACCCCGAACGAGCAAATATTTACACCCGTTGTCATTGTGAGCGGTCGGGGCGCGATCTTAATGGCGTATCGTTCCGGATTTGGGAACCTTTCGAAGATAAATCGCAGAATAGGTGTCGTAAATTTACCGCCGGTGAGGGGGGTGGGGGGAGAAACGGTTTCTCGCCCCGGTTAATCCTCCCGGTTTTGCGCGTTTTTTTTTTTTTGTGGGCGGATTTTCTTCTATTCGCTTCTGATCGTTGGGATCTCGGCAATTAACGTACTTAGATTTTAATAGCGTGAATCATGATGATGGTGACCAATTCTGTACGACACGACTTCATGATCTTTGAGTAAAAAGTAATTTTACCATTTTTTTACTCACACTTTAGAGTATTCGTAAGAAAGATTGTCCTGACCTATGACCATATAGAGAGCAACATATTTATCAGATAGACATACAAGCGGTAATTTATAAACAAGGAAAATTGAAATAAATTTAAAATTAAAATAATGTATAAAGAGAAAAGTTGTAGAGACTGTTGGAATACACAATACGATATTATTTCAGAGTATACAGGGTGACTCCAAAAAGAGTGAAGAAGTTTTTAAATTTTATTTTGACTTTTTTTAATTCTTCAACTAAATGTAATAGTTTTTCCAATATTAATTTTTTGCTTTGTGGATAATTTTTTCTTTTCTTAAGTGGTACACAATTAAACATTTTACAAAAACCTACAATTTTTATTAAGCGTCTACGCCATTAACACTTTTTTAACTTTTCCAATATTTACCCTTCTTTCTGTGTACAATATTAGGTGGCCATGACAAAATGGGATTTTTAAATTATAAACTAACCTTAAAATTTTACAATAACCAGCTGGCAAAGAACTCACT